AGACAAAACCAAAAAAACAAAGCTTTTTTTTAAAAAAAGTAAAAAATGATATTTTTTACTTTAAGGCATTTTGAAAAACTGCTGTATTATGGATGATACAACGAATATGTTGAATTGAGATAATTGGATGAAAAATTTAAAAGTTCTTAACAAAAACCACTAAACCAAAAGAATTAAAAGTGATTGCAGTTTAGTGCTTAAAAATTTTAAGTATTGGTGTTTGCAAAGAAACATTATATAAACGAAGAAGCATTATATAAATTTTTTTTTAATAAAACTAACTTTCTTAAACAGACAAGTTTGGCGCCTAAACATCTCTATACCCAGCCGGCACAACTCGTTAAAAAATTACTAGTGGTTTCTGTTGCGTGTTTAAAACTCCTGAAAACACTAAGAATATCACGTGTCAAAAATAGTTTTGATTCCATGAAATTAACTACTACCATTTACCAAAGTACGTGTTAGAATATTAAGTTTTTACTAATGGCTTCACAATTACAAAAATGGAATATTATATCATTTAAAGTTTCCGTTACGAAACCGTGAATAAAACCATACAAAACTTATCAACTAGAACTGTACAGAATTCGGAAACAGAACGATTTTGTAAAAGCGTTTTCTTCTAAAGCATGGTTTGTAAAAGTTATTCGGAAATAAATTTTCTCTTTACATAAATTGTGATTTTACTTTATATCACACTATTTATGTCTATTATTATCAAATATTAGTATTTATAAATACTAATATTGTTATAAACATCAACATAAAATGCGTTATATATATAACGCATTTTATGTTGGTGTTTATAACAATATTAGTACTTATAAATACTAATATTTGACAATAATAGACACAAATAATGTGATATAAAGTAAAATCAAAATTTATGTAAAGTTTTTCAAAATTAAATTAAATTTATGTAAAAAAAAAATCAAAATTTATGTATATTATAATATACATAATATTATGTGTTATATGTGTTATAACCCATATAACCCATATATATATATATATATATATATATATATATATATATATATATATATATATATATATATATATATATATATATATATATATATATATATATATATATATATATATATATATATATATATATATATATATATATATATATATATATATATATATATATATATATATATATATATATATATATATATATATATATATATATATATATATATATATATATATATATATATATATATATATATATATATATATATATATATATATATATATATATATATATATATATATATATGCCTATTCATATTTGGTATGTTTTACAACAGGGTATGTGGATTTTAATAATCAAACATTTACTGGAACGAATTCTAGACAACTTGTAAATTGTTCTACAATTTTAAAAAAGCCAATGAGCAAAAATTTAATTGCTGCTGATGAAAATAATTGTGTTGAGGCTCTAGTAGCCTTTTCAGGTAAAAGTTAGTATTTTTTTCAGCGTAAAATAATAATGTCACAACATCACTTGAAAATAAAAATAACCAAGATTGAAAAAACTGTCGATATGGCTGTTGGTCTTTTACAACAGCTTTTAGATAAAGGTTCAAATGTAGTTACGTTTGATCAGGTTACCTCAATGGACGACCTGATAAAATTCGAGATCCGTCTTAAAGACAATTTAATTAAAGAAAAGTTAACGCGGAAATTTGAAGCAATAGGACCTGTCTGCAAAGATTCAAAAGCGCATTGCTATGCAATTTTAGATTCACTTATGACCGAGGAAGTGCAATCTAAAGTTAATGTTAAGTATGGTAATCACGTGCCAAACAAAAATTATACTGACCATTTGTCATTAACACACGATTTGCCTGTGATTTTTTCTTCCATTCTAGCATCGTTAGTTTCATGGAAGGTACTAGAAAAACTTTTGAAATCCTTTTTGAGTGAAAGGTTGAAGCAAGGTATGAGAAGAGCTCATGCTGCCAAAAGAGATTAAACTGTATATTCTTTATCTTTTATATTTAGTTTTTTAGTTGGTATATTTATATTGTTAATGGTAAATTAAGCTTGGAAGAAATTGAAATATAATTTAGGATTTTCTTAAAAAAATGCAAGTAAAATATAATAAAAACGATCATATTTTAGTTGAAGTCAATCGAAGTTTAGAGAATTTATATATTATATATTTGATTGGTAAAAAGTCACCAATCATTGATCAAAAATTAAAAAAAAAGTAGTTTGCATGATTGAAATCTTAGTATAAATTCCGTAGCAGGCTTTAATAAATCTTTCGTGAAGTCTACGTATTTTTGGTTTACAATTTGATCGCGTTATACACGTGTATGTTTTAGATTTAATTTCTGTATTGAAACCTCATAAGACTCGTATTTATAACCTCATAAAACCCGTGTTTAAAAAATAAAATAAACTCGTGTTTGAAACCTCAGAAAACACGTGTATAACTCCAGTTCAACTTCCTGTGAAATCCACGTGTTTTTGGTTTACGCCTGGATCGTAACAATTACATGTTTATACGGGTTTTAATTCCGAGATTAAAACTAGATGTGCCGGCTGGGTATAAACAATTTATATAAAAAATATGTTATTTGTTTATATATACTGTTTATAAAATTTAAAAAATCCACTTATAAAACGTTTTATTCAGGATCGTATGCAACATAAGTAAACTTTTCTAATAACTACAAGTTTTTTTTGCTCAAGCAGTTTTGTTTTGATGTTTAGGTAGGTTAAGTGATTTGTAGGTATGTTATATTTAAAATATATTATATTTAAAATATATATTTTAAAAATTGACAAAATTGAAAAAACGCAAAACATATTGACATCCAAGTGAAAAATTTGAAACTCCAATTTTAAATTTGTTAAAAATTATGTCATCTTCTTATATCCGCCAAACCCGGTAATAAAAACAGCTTAACTGTAAGATTCAAAAATCAACAAATTTTTTTATTACAATATGTACACCAACTCTCAAACAACTAAAATAATGTCTTTGCGGTTTAAAAATAAAAACAGCCTAATAAAAAGATTTTAAAATTATCTGATTCTTATGATTATGATTATGGTATGAGCGCCAACTGTACTCTAAAACGACTAAAAAATATGATAAGAAAACGTGAACGAAAGTGTATCTTTAAACAAAGGTGTATCTTTGAACGAAACTGTATGTTTAGTGTATTTTTATTATGTATGTAATATTAAGTTTTGTAATAATAAATATGTAATATCATGTTTTACAGTTTTACTTGGATTGCAACAACATCTTTTTAAATTTGGTCTGTAGCATTTATTTTTGTTTTATACTGTCTTTTGCTTTTTAAATAATTTAAAACTTAGGTTAAGTAAGTTGCAATATGGTCGAGCGAATATCGAAGTCCTATCATTCTTTTTTATATTTTTTTTTAATTTTTAATTGATTTAATTTAAAATACAGAATAAAACACTTTTAAAAAAGAACTATGAAATTGTTTTGTTTTGAGTTTTAAAAAATAAAAAATAAGGCAAGCTTGCCACTCGGCTTCTAAACTTTTTTTGAACAAAGTAAGGAGGTTTAAATAATGTTTTCATTAAGAACTTGACTTAAAATTTTGTTTTTATATAAAATAAATCATTTTTATCAACTTAATTATTTTAAAAAATAATAAAAGTTAAAATTACTTATTTTAGGATAATTAAGTAATTTAAAGTTTCATAGCTATTTTACAACGCCTCTGCTAAACATTCAAAACCAAATGCTAAATGACAGAACTTAGATAGCTATGAAAATAGTACCTAACATATTTAATTAGGTAAATCTAGGCATCTAACACTGTAAAGAGACAATTATCTTTCTAAATTTTTTTAGTAGTAAATTCATAATTTTTCATTCCAAAAAAATATACGTGGTAATAAGCTCTAAGTATACAGAAAAGATGCGTATGTAAACTTTCATTTCTGCTCATAATCTATTGTTCATCAAAAAAATATTAGGAGAAATATAGATAAAGTTAATGTGAAAAAGAGTCTCTCTGTTTATGAGAAAAAAAAACTATTTTATAAATCTCTTATAAGATCCACTTATATAAGATACTCTTACAAGATCCGTATACGGAAAAGATGAGCATGTTAATTTTTTTTTGCTAATTCTGTCTGAAACCGCGCTTAAAGAAATTTAAGCGATAGTTATACTACAAAAGGCGATGTGGAATAAATTCATAATTTATGTGGAATAAATTTGGAAAAAGGCGATGTGGAATAAATTTACCAAGTTTGTTTTAAAGTGTTTTATGGGTCATGACAGATAATATATCTATAAAATGAGAAAACTTTATAATTTTATTTTAAATTTTAGAAATCTTTTTTGCTAAATTGTTACTTTTTTGTTATAAGTATTTAAAGCATTATTAAAAAAATATATTATGCTGTTGAAAAAAAAGTTACAAAGTTTATTATGCTGATGAAAAGCCTTAAACCTCCTAAAACAAAACTGATGACAGCGCACTTAACTACTGAGCTATCAAATGAAATGCATTTAGTAGAAAAAAAAATCTAATTATAAGTCTTTTATAAGCTCTATATATGCACATGTTAAGTTTTTTAATCTTTAATGTTTTTTTCAGAATAAATTATTTTACTAAAAAATATTGAAATAAATAAGGAATAGGTATATAAATTATCAGTGCAGAATAGATATGGATAGAAATGTTAGGCTTGATTAAGGCCCGTATTTTACGGATCTGGAAAGCTAGGATGTATAGGGAAAAAGTAAAGAAATGTTCGGTTTGGAATAGACTTACAAAGACCCATATTTTTACGGGTGCGATCTTAGCTAGTAAATTATAATTATTAAAACTATTGCCTTCATTAATTTCTTTTAAATTTTTATTTCAAATTTTATTAATGTTAATTATGCTGTTATGTTTGTTATTTATTATTATATTATTAAACATTTCTTTTAAATTGTAAAAACAAATTGTTATATTAAAAAAATAAATAAAAAAAAGACTTACTTAAAAACTTCCATCCTCTTGTATTAAAGTCTGATAAAGTAAATCCGCAATTGTTTGATGATGTTATTGAGATGCAACTTGCAAGGATACCTTGAATAAAAATATTGAAATAACAAGTACATATTATAAACATTTAAATGCACACCATTATCTTAAGCAAACCAAAACTGTACATAACTAAGGTACAACTAAGTTCATACCTTCAATTTTTATCAAAACAGAGTCTATGTATATTAGACTATCACCACTATACATAAAAGACACCTATAAAACAAAAATGCATTTATTAAAATAAACATTTTTAAAACAAATTAATAAAAATAATTGAGGGTTTAAAACTTTTTAAAAGCTTGAGAATTTTTTTGGTTACTCAATGATGAAACGTTATTCATGTAATACAGGTTTATTTTTCATGAGGTTTTAATAAAAAAAAATTTGTGTCTACTTCAAGTGTTACATGTTTATTTCTAACTTCTATATATATCAAAAGTAATTTTACATTTTATTCTAAATTTAATTTCTTTTTAAACTTACTTTCATTATAATTTTCACATTTACTCATTTTATTATATATAATCTTTTTAAATTCACTCAATCTATTTTTATTATAAATTTATATGAATTTAGAATATTATCACAAAGATGTATTCAAAATGATATTTCATATGTTAAAATGTATTAGAATACTTGAAAATAGCATATTCAATGTAGCTTAGCATATTCAAAGTAGCTTAGCAGCTTTTTTTTAAAATTCTGGCAAATATGCATTAGTAACAAGTTGATCAATAAAGTTGATGAATTTTTTTCAAGTAATCAAATTTCATTTAAAGTTATATCATACGCATTCAGAAAATCTTAAAGGAATATTAATTGCTCAATTATAGAAAATAAAAACAACATTGTTTAAAAAAACTTTAAAAATTACAAATAAAAAAAAAATAGTATAATAAAAAGAACAAAAAACAAATAAATAAATAAATTAGAGACAAAATTAATTATGTATTAATTATACATTAATTATAGTTAATGAATACATAATTAAACTCATCTCTAATTTATTATTATAATTTTTTTTTTTTGAGTATAATTAAGAACAATTATTTAAAATTTAATTAAGATTTAATTAAAAAAATTAAATTTAATTAAAACATTCAAAATAAAAAAAAGTAATATAATATCATTTTTTTTAGACTAACTGCAACCATAGAAGCCAATCCTAAAAAGTGAACAAAGAAAATAAAAGTTTTACATATATTTTCATAAACAAACAAAAGTAAAGACTTATATCTAAAATATTATAAAGTAGAAATCTTTTTTAATTTTGTAAACTTTTTTGTGCGGAAATTTTTATTAAACCATCAACTACAACTAGGACACATTTTACACACTTAACACAATATTACATTTAACTATTTAAACCACAAAAGCAACTTAAACTTAATATTAAAGGTTGTTTTTTTCATGTCAAGAAAAATAGTAGTAAATAACAAACTAGATCAAATTGAAAAATATAAATACTTAAGTTTGTATCATTAAAATAATGTCAATCAATAAATTTGAGAGAGAGATTTTTAAAATCAAAAGTAATCAGATATTTTTATTTATATATATCAACCGTAAAAGTAAAAGCAAAGACTCAATAAGGTCTCTAAACAGCATAATAGCAATAGGTTATATATATTCACTCCCTTCTTCTTGTTTTCCTGATTTATAATTTGCAACCTTTAAAGTTGGGTCAAGTGTCATTTTACTTTATGATCGCTTTTCTTGATTTTATTCATTGTCTTTTCTCAACCATCTTTACTTTGAACCAGACTGCAAGCAACCACTATTAGACTTGGAAGTTGAAATCTAATAGTGGTAGCTTGCAGTCTGGTTGAAAATTAAGGTTAAAAAAAAAAAAAAAAAAAAGGTTTTCTTCAAATAGAAAATATTCATATCATTTTAGTTCTATGAAGATTCAATGTGAGAACAAAACAAACTACAAATGTTCTAATCCAGAACATTTGACTATTTAATTTTTAGAGATGTTAAAGCTTTCTAAATAGAATCAAAAAAAAAAAAAAAATGCTAAAACAGTTTATCTAATTATTTATTATTAATCCTTAATTTATGGTTTTATGCAAAGACAAATTATATCCACTAAACTGTAGTCCAGTATTTTTACTTTGAAAGTATTTGGGAAAGTATTGTGAGGAATATAATGATGCAACATGTTCATAGCATAACTTATACAAATAAAACATGGTTTTGTTTGTATAAGTTTGTATAAAATGGTTTTGTTTGTATAAGTTTGTATAAAAATATTAACTAAATTATTAATTAAAAAGGTTTAAAAATCTTTTTAATTAATAACTTAGTTAATATTTTTGTAGCTGTTAAGTTGTAGCTGTAGCTGTTAAGTCTATTGAAACAATTATTTTTATTATTGAAACAATTTAATTTTATTATTTTTTTGTCTATTATCTGTCTATTATTTGCCTATTATTTGTCTAATGTGTAATAGTGTATATTTTCTTTTAAGTTTTGTGAAAAGCTTAAAAGCATATATAAATATAGATTTTATTTTTCCAAATTATGTACACTTATGTACACTTTAATAAACATATCATTGTTACAAAAACACTTTGAAGATTGAAACATAATACTATTATTATTTTATTTTGATTTTCTCATTATTCATATAACTGAAGCAAGATTAAAAAAAAGAACATCCTTAATTCATTCAACTATCATTGATAATTACAACATTGAGCACACAACAACAAAATCCTCTGGGGGGTGAACTATTATACAAACAAAGAGATGATTTAATGATTTACACACCTAATTGTTTATAAGCAACATTTGTTAAAACTATTTTTTCTCAAAAATGTAATATTATTGTTAGTTGCATTCATAGACACCTATGCATGGATATCAATATTTTTAATAATATATCTGTCCTACTTTCAAAAATATCTGCTAAAAACAAATCAGTTTTCTTACTTGGTGATTACAATAATGATCAGATAATGACATTGCAACATCTGATTCTTAAAACTAATTTTCTTTTTATAGTATTTGGCCTATTATCACTTTGTCGACTAGAATTACTGATCACTCTGCTACAATTATTAATAATATTTTTTCTAACTTATTAAGTTATAAAATTATTTCAGAAAATTTGACAACATCTGTTTCTAATCACATACCTCATTTTTGTATTTGTCCTGAATTCAATAAATTATTTATACCAGGTAGACAAATAAAACTTTAAATCTGATTTATCAAAGATTAACTGGGATGATACTACTTCATGTTTCCAAACAATTATTACTAAAACAACATTGATTTTAGATCACTATGCCCTGCTTATCAAAAACTTCAAATGTTGATTCAAACCGTGGATTACAAAAGAAAATATAAAATTTATTCAAATGCCTAATCTTTTTCAACAAAAAATATTTATATCTTAAGATCTTATTAATATAAACAATTATGAAAGTATTTTTAAAATAATAAATATATAGTTACTTTAATTAAACCTAGTAAAAAAATCTATTGAAATTTTTTTTTCTAAGAATATGTAAAAAACTTAATGAACTTTAAAAAAGCATTAAGATTCTAATAAAATGTAAAAAATTTTAATAAATCATCCCCAAACTGTTTGCAAGAAAATAAAACCTATAGAACTGACCTGATTCTTATCTCTGAATCATTTTACACTTTTTCTTTAAATGTTGCTCATAAACTCAAATCCAATATTATAATCGAATACAATATATATATATATATATATATATATATATATATATATATATATATATATATATATATATATATATATATATATATATATATATACATCAATATCCATTCATTTTGCGTTAACTATCAAAAGTATCTTCAATATCCTAATTTACATAGTTTATTATTATCTCCAACAAATTATATCCTGAAATTTCATCTCTTCAACTAGTTAATACCTCATTTATAACATTTCCTGATATTTTAAAATTATCTTGCATTATTCCGATATTTAAAAAAATGGCCCTAAACTGTAATTTACTAACTATAGACCTATTTCTTTTTTTAACTAACATTAGAAAGCTTCTTGAAAAATTTATGTATTCTAGAATAAACTCTTTTTTAAACTCATTTAATTTTTTAAATGATTTTTATTTTCGTTTTCAATCAAAACATTGTACTTGTCATGCATTAATAAGTGTAATAGAAAAAATCAGAAAAAATTTTCAATACTGGTCATTTCTTTTGTGATGTTCTATTAATTTACAAAAAGCTTTTAATACTGTTGATCATAGTATTTTGATTTCTAAATTAAAACATTATGGAGTTTGGGGTATTTTAGTTGATTGGTTTTATTCTTATCTTTTAGATAGAAAACAATCTGTAAGTATTAATGGTTTTAATTCTAGTAATCAACTAATTTTATATGGTGTTCCTTAAATTTGTATTCTTAGTTCTTCTTTATTTTTAATTTATGTTAATGACCTAACTAACTCTGTTCACTTCTGGTAACTTATCTGCTTGCTGATGATGCAATTCTCTTTCACGTCATCAAATTGTGTCATTCTTTATGTAAAAATGTAAATTCGAATCTAAAAGGTATAGTTGATTGGTTAAATTCTAAACTAATATGTCTTTAGAAGTTGTTAAATAATCTAAGAGTTTACATTCCATATGTTTCAATGTATGTTTTTGCTTATTATTACTTATATTGTATTTTAGAAATTTGATCAGATTTCTGTGAGTGACACCATCCTAACAAATTATTATATCATAACTTATTATTATAATTAATTTTATTCTTATAATGACCCAGGGGCGAATCTAGCATTTTTTAGTCTTTGAGATTAGTCTAACTCCAAACATATATTTCTTTATAGTTATGTCAAATAAGCATGCTTTGTAAATTATTGTAATGATTGGAACCAGGAAACAAAAGAGCTTTGAAACTTTCGGGCCCCTGCCCCAAACATTTGTGGAACAAGCTGATAAAACAATTTTTTGTACTATTCATAACTAGAGTTATATACATTAATAAATTTCAAATTTCATAGTATAACCTCTAAGCGTTCAAAAATTATGACTATATAAAACTTGTAACACTCTCAAATTGAGGAGGATATAAACATTAAATGGTCATTATTTTTTAACACTAAAATATAATGCTATGAAATTTATAATTAATGGATATAATATAATGTTAATCTAGTTGAGAATAGTACAAAAAACATTTTATCAACTTTTTTTTTTTTATTTTACTTCACCTCCTCAAGGCCGAGAAGGCCACTACAGACGAGAAGGCTACTTATTTTGTGGCTATAACCCTCTCTCAACTCTATAACTCAGAAACACGAACCTTGACGAACAAGGCCGCTGCGCAGAGAAACGAGTTGAGCGCGGTACTACCAGGGACGTGGTGGGGATCGAACTCGGAACCACTTGTTTATGAAGCGAGCGCTCTACCACTACACCACTACCGCATAATATATAACAATACCGCTTGTTGCTCTTTGTACTATAAAAAATATTTTATCAACTTGTTGCAACTCGTTTGAGGCTGGGGCGGCAAAAATGTTGGGGCTTTTTTGTTTCCAAGTTGCATCTTTATAATAATTTTTATTACAGGACAATTATTATTATTTTTTTAAATGCCATTGGCTTTTCATTATCATAAATTTTCTTTTTTTAAATTTTATTTTGATTAATATAACATTTTCTTCTTTTGATTATAACATTTGTTCTTGGATACAATTTTAATAAAAAAAATTTAATACTAATCTAATAAAAATAAAATAAAAATAAAACATCTTACTGAAAATGCTGAGTTTAGTAGTTGATTACTTGGCAGAGAAACGGCATAATAATTCCAAGAATTTATTGTTAAACTGAGACTGTTAGATTGAATTAGAATAAAATTTGAATCTAAGAACTGGATTGTTGCAACTAGCGAAAAAAAAAAAAATTAAGTAGATAAGATTTAATTTTTTTTTTTAAATAAAATCTTACAATGCATTGTGGAATTAAAGGCTTGATAAAATTGTAAATACTTACAAAATTATTTATTAGAATAAGAACTTAAAAACGTATTTAATCCTAGGTTTTAAAAATAAAAGATTCAGTATTGTTAAATTTTATGCTTTCTTTTTTTCAATTGTTGTTTTCAATTATAAGATAATCAACAAACGCTTCTTCGTAATAGAATAAAATCTCATATAAAAAAAAAAAACTAGTTATGGATAAGTGGATTGCTTTTTTTCTGTTTCAAATTGTGTTAATGAGATATAGGTTATTCATCTATTTATAGAGTGCTTTATGTTAAGTTATTCACTGTACCCTAGTACTGGAATACAGTAAATAACTACCTTGAGCACAGTGAATCAATAACAACAATGAATAAATATGAGTGGAAATAGAAGTGGAGGTGAGGGCCAATTGATATTGAAACTGATAAAGTGAAGGCACTTTATAGTGTTTTAGACAATTTTGGCAAATGCATAAGAATAAAATTGAAATAATAAACATCAATTATTGAGAAAATAAATGATAGCAATTTAATGATAACAAATTAAAACTTAACAATAATGATAACAAATTAAAACTTTTTCAACCAATCTAAAACTTTTTCAACCAATCTAAAACTTCTTCAACTAATCTAAAAAAAAACATTTTGTTTCAAGCAAAAAATCAACAAAGTGCATGATTATAGGTTTTTAAGTCTACAGAAAAGATAAAATGGCGAGCAACTATTGCAATTCACTCCCAAATCAGCATTTTTTGTACTTTTTAAAAAATTAACAATCAGTGTCATTTCAGAAATATGATCAATGGTTGAAATAATAGAGGAAAATGAAGACTTTTGGTTGAAAAAAAAAGGAAAAATCTCAAAAACATTTTTAACTATTTTTTAAAACACAAAACTTTACATCATACTTTAAAAACATTAAGCACTCTATTTGTTGAATATACATAATATACACTGAACATAATTTATATAGAATATAATTAAATAGAATGTAACAGGATTCCCACTATTAAAACTGAGGCTAAAAGTATGGAGATTTAAGGAGATATTTTCCTATTATTTATAGAGATTTGGTCACAAACGACAACTTTTTAAAAACAAAAATAAGAAGAATTAAGAAGAAAATGATTACATTAAAAACAGAATCTTACTTTTTCATGCTTGCAGACTTTAGAAAACACTGTGAAAGAAATTTTTATTTAATTAATCAACATCCTCCCCTTTTTATTAAGGATTCGAGAGTAAATAGGATCATTCATCCCTGCTTTTACTCTCTGCCAATTTTTATTATTGATGTAATATACTTTACAAGCTTTACTAATATATTTTACAAGTTTTTTGTAACAATCAAGAAGGGATTTAAATTTAGAACTTTTTTCTCTAACAACCATTGTCCAATGCTTTTTGCACCACCTGTGTCCATTAAATTGTAGTGTAGTCAATAAATATTTTACTTTTGCACCACCTGTGTCCATTAAATTGTAGTGCAGTCAATAAATTTTTTGTTTTTGCACCACCTGTGTCCATTAAACTGTAGTGTAGTCAATAAATTTTTTGTTTTTGCACCACCTGTCTCCATTAAATTGTAGTATAGTCAATAAATTTTTGTTTTTGCACCACCTGTATCCATTAAATTGTAGCATAGTCAATAAATTTTAAATATAAATAGAGAAATTATTATAAATTAATATAATACTTTCTATATATATATATATATATATATATATATATATATATATATATATATATATATATATATATATATATATATATATATATATATATATATATATATATATATATATATATATATATATATATATAAATATGTATATATATATATATATATATATATATATATATATATATATATATATATATATATATATATATATATATATATATATATATAGGTACCCTCGTATGCGTCTGTTTTTTTATTTTGACATCGCTTTTATAAAGTTTCTGAATTTCCGTGTTTTTTCAAAATATATATATATATATATATATATATATATATATATATATATATATATTATATATATATATATATATATATATATATATATATTTATATATATATATATATATATATATATATATATATATATATATATATATATATATATATATATATATATATATATATATATATATATATATATATAGGTACCCTCGTATGCGTCCGTTTTTTTATTTTGACATCGCTTTTATAAAGTTTCTGAATTTCCGTGTTTTTCCAATATATATATATATATATATATATATATATATATATATATATATATATATATATATATATATATATATATATATATATATATATATATATATATATATATATATATACATATACATATATATATACATATATATATATACGTATATATACATATATATATATATATATATATATATATATATATATATATATATATATATATATATATATATATATATATATATATATATATATATATATATATATATAGGTACCCTCGTATGCGTCCGTTTTTTTATTTTGACATTGCTTTTATGAAGTTTCTGAATTTCCGTGTTTTTCTAAAATATATATATATATATATATATATATATATATATATACATATACATATATATATACATATATATATATACATATATATATACATATATATTTATATACATATATATATATACATATATATATATATATATATATATATATATATATATATATATATATATATATATATATATATATATATATATATATATATATATATATATATATATATATATATATATATAAATATATATATATATAACAACTTTGTCAGACTTATTGCAGCAAACAACATAGTAACCAAAAATTATTTGATGCATGTGTTTAGCACATATTGATATTATTATATGCAGAGTTCCATAGTTTTTACTTGAAGTTTTACATGTATTTTAATGTTTTTTTGTCGTGATAGTCGTAACTGTGACAATTGTAACAAAAAAGCCAATATTTAAAAACAACAAATAAAACAACACAATCAATGATGTAAGAAAAATAGTATAAATTAAAATTATTATTAAAAAAATGCACTAAAACATTATCAAAGTTTTCAAATATGGATATACATTATTATTTTTAACGCTTCATAACAGGAATGTAAATAAGGGCCAAAACACATTTATACAACCCATACAACTTTAAAACCGGGCTATGGTATAATAAAATCAACTTTTTTAATAAATTCAAAAGTTTAGATTCACTTGATTTATTTTTAAACTGAATGCAATTTTCTTCAAAAATTGAAGCTCCTTCCATTAAAAACTAGCGTAACATTTATATTAAGAATTTATTTTGACATTTTGATTATAATGAGGCTCACACATCTATTTGTGTACTTAGGGTATAGGTTTATCATCATTATAATAATGAATACCTTTGGCATATTTTACTGTAATACAAGGGTATATTTTACTGTAATAATTTGATATATTTTGCTGTAAAACTAACTTAATTATGTTTTTTTTTAATGTTTTGGTTTATAGTTTTATTATACGGAAAAGATATCAAAACATTGTTTTTGTTAAATGTTGTAATATTCATAGAATAATTAAAATGAATGTTAAAACAATTCAAAGCATTTTTTCCTAATATTCCTAACAATTGATAAAAATTGGGTAATAAATTAGAGCCTGAAGTAGAAAAACAAGCTGTAATTGTGGTATTAAACAAGGAAGGTTATTCAACATGAAAAATTGCTTTAAAAACCAGTGATTATCAAAATGCAGTTATTAGAGGTTTGAAAAGAAAGCAAGAAACTGGATGTAATCAAAGTCATCATCCTTCAGAGAGGCCTAGAGCAATGCTGAGCCATGAAAACAAATTCATCCATGTTCAAAGTAAAAGAATTCATACTCGAACTGTTTCCGAAATTTGCTAAGAACTCAATTCTATGCTGTAAACACCAGTATCTGTGATGATGTTTTTGCATCTAAAACAATGGTCAAAAAACCATTACTACGCAAGCTAAATAAAATTAGTGGATTAAAATGGGCAGAAAACCAAAAAAGTTTGACAATTCAACAATGGGCTTAAGTCTTTTTTACTGATGAATCTTAAATTTTTGGAGGAAAGTGTCAACAATATATTCATCATTTAATCGCAAGATAGTAGATCAATCATGGTCTGGGAAAGCTTTGTTGGAGAAAAGTTGGTTACCATGTGCAAAATGAGGGCATCGTGGATAAATAAAAAATAACACAACATTCTCCGAAAATATGCATTTATGTGCGGGAAAAAATTGTAGGTTGCTGATTCATTATCCAAATAATAACAATCCTAAACACACATCTAAATTTTGCAGTAATTATATCATTGTCAAGGAAAAACAAAATAAACTAAAATTATGGATTTGTCTCCAATATTAACCAGATTTAAATCTGATATAGTTTTTATGGGATGAGTTAGATAGAAATGTTAGAAAAATAAAACCAACGAATCTAAAACACCTTCAGCTACTCATTACAAACATGCTAGAATCAAATACCAACTGACCAATTGCAGAAATTGATTTTAAGAACATACAGAGTATGTGTTTCTGTTATAAAAGCAAAGAGAGGATATTTTGAAGAATCTTAAATTTAAAAAAATTCTGAAACATTTTATAAAATGTCTTCTTATATCTTATATTTTGTTGAACAAATGAATGTTTTATTGTAAACAATATGAGTAATTGAAAGTGATTTGGAAAGTTTATTTTTAAAAAGATATTGAAAATATACTTCATGATCCTCAAAATAAACTCCTATTTTGCTGAAAATATGATTTTTTTAGTAAAAACAATATAAATAAATATTTATGATGAGAAAAGTCTAGATATTTTTGCATATTGTTATATATTAAATGAACCTAAACAAATATATATATATATACATATATATATATATATATATATATATATATATATATATATATATATACATATATATATATATATATATATATATATATATATATAAATATATATATATATATATATATATATATATATATATATATATATATATATATATATATATATATATATATATATATATATATATATATATATATATATATTATTATCATTATTATTATTATTATTATAACTTTTTTTTTTTTAAAGGGTTGAAGCTCCTTATTCTGAAAATATATTTTCTTTCGCCTAATAAATAAAAATATACAAATTTATTAAAAACAATTTCATACTTATATCGCTTGAAGATTGAACTGCATAAGCATAAAAACTAACGTCAACACTTCCACCATAGTATGCCACTTGTGGTAGCAACAGCTGATTATTTACACCTACAGCTGACAATGCCCAAAGTTTACCTGCAGTAAAACAATACAAACAATATTATAAACTTAATTTAAACTTTTTCTTGCACAGCAAGAATTGAATTATGAGTCTTGATCCCCAAGTCCATTAGTAATTGCTTTTTCCTCTTTTGCATTTTTTTTATTAACCTATATTTTTGCAACTCATACTTCTACTGAAATAATGAAATAATTATACTATATTAACCAAAACTTAACATGTTTAAATTATTTAAAGACAAAGGTTAGTGGTAGAAATGTTTCCATAAATGTGATTTACAAGTATAATGTTTTATAACTGAAAATTGTTTCAATAAAACATTTTTAGTTGAATAATAAATTGCAAAATGAAAAAGAAGTACATATATATATATATATATATATATATATATATATATATATATATATATATATATATATATATATATATATATATATATATATATATATATATATATGTATGTATATACATATATAAATACATATATATATGTATGTATATATATATATATATATATATATATATATATATATATATATATATATATATATATATATATATATATATATATACATATATATATATGTATGTATGTATGTATGTATATATATATATATGTGTATATGTATATATATATATATATATATATATATATATATATAGTATGTATGTATGTATGTATGTATGTATATATATATATATATATATATATATATATATATATATATATATATATATATATATATATATATATATATATATATATATGTATATATATCGTTTTATTAAAATACTATAGGACAAAAAAATTTTAATAGTATACTTTTTATTTTATTCATTTGCTAAAATAAAAAAGGATAACATTTTTATTTTTTCAATTCACAGAAAAAAAAAACATGACCATGAGATTTTTAGAAAACCAAATATCTAGTAGCAAATTTATAACATTTTCTTATAATAATTGCAACAACAACTGCTAATTTTTTATTTGTAGTTATTTAGGTACTCCCAGAAGTCCTTACAGTCCTATCACAGAACACAGCGGGAGAGCATTTGACAGGAAGTTTAACCACTATTAAGTAGCCTCCTCGTCTGTAGTGGCCTTCTCGGCCTTGAGGAGGTGAATAATTGAAAAAAAAAAAAAAAAAAGTTCACACCTCCTTCCGTACAAATGTCGCTTGTTGGGCTGGAGCTGGCATCGAACCTTGGACCTCTGGGTTCTGTGCCAGAACTCTAACTACTGCGCCATGGCTGCTAAATGATCTTGTTAATTATTTTTCATCTATTATTATCATCTACTTTCTGAATAATAGTATAAAAAATATATGTCTCCCATCAAAATAACAATCACAAACTATATTATTGAAAAATTGAGAAACTTCATTTACTAAACCAAATTTGGTCAAAAAATGCAGAAATATTCTTTATATGTTTGAACTATATAATTTGTTTATTTACAAATGCAAAAGTGGAGCATATGCTTTATGTATGAATTTAAAATAAATGAGAAGCCATCTATGGCAAGATTGTGTGGAATCTTTGCCTCGGATAAGTGAAGAGGATGCTAAAACTGGTGGTTTGGAAGCTGATACTGCTATAAATAGGGTATAACAAATAATAAACTTTTTTTAAAAAGTTTAAGTTAACAAGTGTTCTGAGGAAAAAATTTGACACAGAATTCGATTCTTGAAACAAATTTGAGCTAACATGAGAATTTTAGTTTCATGTGGTGATGCGCCATTTTTTTTCAAAATGGCGTATCACCACATCTTTATTGTAAAAATAATTTGCCGCCATCTGGAGATTGAGGTAAGATCTTCCAATAATCTATCTATAGTCCTCTCTGGAAGTTAAAAAGTAAGTTAGATCTCTAATAAAATGACATCTTTTCAGGGTGTTGGCGTGCTGTTTACCGGCTCATTTAAGTGTGACTTATAATCACTGGATTGCCTCATCTTCATCTGTCATTTTAACGCAGAATGACTTACCCAATATCTATTAGTATGCATTTGTTCTAATGTCATAGGCTCTGCTTGTCATATGCATGTTGAAATTTTAAGCTTTCTGTATCCATTAATTTGTTTTCTTGTAACTTGAATTTTATTGTTGTTCAACCTAAGTCATAAAAAATTGTTATTCGTCTCTTATTTTCTTTGCTTTGTTTTGTTCACACAGTGGATAGACATTCTATGATATCCAGTAGTCGGATATTTTCTGCACCATTATTTTGCTTGCATCATTATATGAGAAAATATTAGAACCAAGTCTCACCGAATATCTCACACAGCTGCATCATCCATCCAATTAAATATCCAATACTTTGCAACTTGGATTTATCGATGAACATTAGAACTTCTGGGTACATTATCCCCCCCTCCCACCTCCTTGAATCCACTGTCAGATCGGTATTTTTGGAGGAACTTTTTTGTCTTCTCAAGTTGTTTCTCCGCTTCACTTATATCGAGGAATGGGTCTTGTTACATACCGTAGATTTCCCATATTCCACACTTAAAGTTAAATAACTCAGCTTGTTTTTTGATTTTCTTATTAATTTTTTTAAATATCAGTTAAAATCATATCAAACAACAAGTACATTTTTAATAAAAATGTTAATTTTATGTTGCGATGTTGCACTGTTAATGTTGCAATGATGTATTGATAAATATGGATTAAATTAATTTAAATAAATAAAATAATAGCAATATATATAAAATACATATAAAATTGTACATATAAAATACATAAAGAATAATAGCAATACATATAAGTTATCTTTTCAGCAGAAAAACATTTTTTCTTGTTTTTAGTTTTTTTTGCTTCACATATTTCATATAACTTATCCAGTATATTTATACTTTAAATGCACAGTTATATATAGTTTATGTTGATTTTTATTGCTTAATCTGATTTTTTTGTTATTATTATTTTATTTGATATTGTAAAGGGCTTCATGATAAGATCGTATGATCTTCTGGAAGTCCTGCCAATTATATTTGTAATAAAGCTATTCTGTAATTTTAATTTCTTTTAATGAAGGCAAACAAATTATATATATAAAAAAAAAAAAATGCTAATATTTTGATATTCATTTTATATTTTTGGTGCCCTTGGAGATTTTGGCGTCCTAGGCAAATGCCTAGTTTGCTTATGCCACGAGCCGGCCCTGGTAAAAATTATGTTGTTATTTTTATTTATTAACATGTGTAAAGACTAAAAAGATGGGTAAATACGAGTTATTTCAAAGTATTTTTTTTTATTTTTACATTTTTTTTGACAAATTTTGAAATTCTAAATAGTTATCAAATATCTGAAAACCTGATTGCGATACAGACATTCATAAAGCATATTTTATAGTTAAAAATTATAGTGAATTATAAATTATAGTTAAAGTGAAAAAATTGAGCTCTTACCTTTATTAGATTCTCTTCGCTAAATGTTTTTTTTGTAAATTAGGCAAAAAATAAATAAGCTGAATCTCAAAATTCCTTTAAAACACAGGTTTTTGCGCAAAGTGTTGAGACTACTATTAAATGTAAAAAAATGTATACAAGCTCCTTTTACGGAAGGGGGCAGTGTTTCCTCTTCAACAAAAAATGTAAAAATTTTTGTTTTAAATCTAAGATATATGTTCCTAAAGAATATATGAGGTAAAATACTCCATGTGCACCACTTTTTTGGACTTAGTCCAATATAAATACTTATTTCTCACTCGTTTTTCCATAAACTAAAAATTTTTTAGTTTTAGCGTAAAGAAAAAGATCAAGAGTCTTTATCATGCCCATAGAATAAATGACCTTAAATAATAAGTACAGAGGCTATAACCCCAAAAGACCTTGAGAGATCCGCTTTGGTTTACACACTTTTTTTTATAGCGAGTTCTGTTGAAAATTAGAACTTAAGAAAATTAGAAAAATAGAGCCCATAATACGTTTAAGATCTTCCAGCAGCTGTGGCAAACGTAGCTGGTGATTGATGTGGTTTAAATTTCTTTCTGAACAAAAACAAAACATAGTAAAAAGTTTTAAAATTTAAATAATATGGATGGCGTCAATTTGAAAGCTATATTTTGTTATAAAATATTTATGTTATGAAAGTTCTTCAGTGAGAATCTTCCATCAGGCAGTACTTGCGCTTAAAAATGCTTACAAAGGTTCGACACTTTCGAAATATTAACAGTTTTAATTTGTCTTAAAAGCTTCAACATACAAAAATTATTCATTGATTTGCAAGTGATTAGTTTTTCGTACATAAAGGCGAAAACAAATTACAAAGTTTATTTTTTGGATGTGTCAGTGGTAAACTAATATAGTGAAATAGATAGCATACGGGATTAATTCAAAAGCTACGCTTTTGATGACACTACTAAATTATCTGACGAATTCATTTGGAGAGAACGGAGAGAGTCACATGTAATTACATTTTTTAAATGAGATCCAATGATATGATTATGCAACCAATAAGCACCATACGGGCAAAAATATTTTTATTTTCTTTATTATTTATGTGTGCTGTTTCACCTGAAAATATTATTGTATATAACAACTATAATTTATGAATGAACAATGAATAACAACTTTTATGTAAAAAATTAAACTAACATCGAGAGAAATTAATCATTAATTACCTAAAGAAAAACCATGAGTTACACCTATTAGGATAAAAAAAAAACTGACCAAAACTCATTTTAATGATTAAGACCTTGATTTTCTTTTTAATTTCAAAGTTAATGCAGTTTAGATGTAAATTCACATTTATATTTTCGAAGTTGTTTCTTTTTTCACATTTTCCATTTTTTTTAATTTCGAATCTATTTCCTTTTTTCACAATTTTGATAATAACTCGAACATTCCCTTATCAATATTTTTATTTTTTTCACAATTTTAAAATTATTCTGCCTTTCCAATTTTATCTATTTTTTGCCGAATAAAGTTAAAAATACTTTTCCGTCAAACTTATCTTAAAAGAAAAGAGTGCTCGTTGGCCGACATTTTCCAAATAAGTATCCAATTTTGCC